TTTTATATCTAATACTCGGAATTTTTGTTTTTTTTTTTTTTCTTTAGAAATAATTCCATTGTTATATTATATTTCAGATAGGCCACGCCCATTTAAATTGTGATGTGTTCAACTCAAACAAAATTTGTGCTAGAGCGCGGACTTAAAATGCCAGTAGGACCGGATACGGACGAACAAACATAACCTAGTCAATTATAAAATGTTGAAATCAGCTCGCTATACGCACAAAGTAGACCGACTCTGATTCTTTTAAACATTCATTATAGTGAAGAGTACAATTATAATAAAAACAGAAACTCAACCTCTGCTACCTCCGTAAGCACAACACAAAGCCATTATGGCTATCAGCAGTTGAAAATCAAACTCTTTTCCATCATCGTTCCCAGTACAAAGTTATCAATTGCCTTAATATGAATGCATGTAGGCTTTAAGATTTTCGATCCGATGAAAAATATATATAGAAAAACATATGCATAAGAAATGATTGATGAGCAATGCAAATCGATCGTACTTATCGAACTGATCGAACGACAAATTATTGCTTGGCAGCGCCACGCGTCCCGTTGAACACGCTCACCTGTAACAAATATTCTGCCAAAATTGATATAACTAAACTTTTTTCGCTTGACGTAGGGTGTACTCTTTTCATATGTGGATAAAGCTAAGAAGATTAATTGTGTATATATATTAACATTGAAAAGGGTTCGGGGGATATTTACTCGGTAGGAGGTTTGTTTTTTTAAAAAATCTTTTAAAAACACCAAAAAAAATGCAAAAAAAAAAAATTAAAGAAATGAAACAAAGCTATTAAAGCTTATGTCAAATTCAGCAGAACTTTAAAAATACTTATGCCAGCACATTTACGATTAGACAAAGGAGTTTGATATAGAAATAAAAGGGGAATTATATCAACATGATGCTGATGATCGATTAATGCTTAGATTATGCGAATTATATCGATCAAACTATAATACCATCAAAATCTATTGAAGCGAAAAAACTCTTTAATAAATTGTAAATATTTTAATGTTCATTATATAATATAAAATAAATAATGAATAATATATAATGCTTAATATTTAGTGTTTGATTATTTTATTAACTCTTTCGATTCAATTACCCGGATATAAGAATTGTTCCCTTGTTCCTATGCGCGTACCATTTGGCAGTGCATACCATAATTCTTTAAATTTAAATATTAGAATATAAAAATGAATATTTGTTGTTGTGATTATTTTACTTAATAATTTTATATTTCTCTTACCTGCATTGTAAACGATAGACGAATGATGGAAAACGGCACCTACTTAGTAGCAGTTTGGCAGGCAATGTATTAATATTATAATGATCCTGAAATTTGACCGAACGGGTGCCAATTCGCAAATACGAACAAGAAAAAAAAAAAAAAATTCATAATCGCTTTATTATGAACGCGATACATGTCCAATCAAAAATACCTAAAGTCCATTCTAAAATTCGAAATTCTTTAATTAACTAATTGTTTAAGGCGTATTATTGAATTTGATCCTTCGTTTATGGATATAAAAAATGCGAAAAATCTTCATAGATAATATTATATGTTTAGTCGATTTTTGTAAATTGTATTTATATAAAAACAAAAAGAGAAAAACAAAGTCTTTTAACCTTGTTTTTATTTCTTATTTAACTTAAACTAGTATCTTGTTGTTTAATAGTTAGTTAACTCCTTACGATAGCATCGACCTTACCTTTGTTCATATGCGGTTAAGACCAACAAGTAATCTTCGGTCGGCATATTTGTTTGTTTTCTTTACAAATCTTAATTAAGCTACCGAAATCCTTTCGAGATAATAAGTATTAAGCGAATGAACATTGAAAAGCGAAACAGAAAGAAACGATTCCATATATAGTATAGAGTAGCAGTAAAGTGCAGGTTATAAAAGTGTGTGCGCTTGTGCGTGTGAGTGGTTAACAGAAATTCTAAAATCAACCTTAATTGGATGAAAATCGTTGAAATATTTAAAATATTTGTTTGTTACTCTTAAGCTACCACTGCTTTGGGACCTTTAAGTGCACACATAGCACATAACACAGACGGACAGACAGACAGACAGACAGACAAACAAATGGACAGACAAAGGTAAACTTACGCACTTTAGCACCAGACAATGGCCTACAGTTTGAAACTGGACAAGCGGCCACTGAACTGATAAAACAACAACAACAACAACAACAACAAAACACCAATAATAGCAGTAGAGAACAACATCAACAACATCAACAACAACAACAACAACAACAACAGCAACAACGGCAACTATAAAAAAAAAAAAAAATATAATAAAATCAAAAAAAATTATATAAAAGTTAAAGTTAGTCGTTGCAGAGAAGCATACAAACAACATAAATTTTTCAAAATCCAACACGCGTTAGTTAGAGAAATCTTTGATTTTTGTGCTAATCAAAATTCCAATCATCATACCACAAAATCATTGATTGGTGTTATAACAGACTGGAATTTATTTGTTGTTGTCCTTCGTGCTCTTGACTTCGAGTTGCGGACGCTCCAGTACGGGATACAGTGACACATAAATTAGAAATATGTTGCTTTTATTCTTTCAACATAAATCACAAACTTTTATTTTTCTCCCTTTTTTTTTCTCTTTTTTTTTTTTGTTTTAATCTCTCATTTTCCTTACGAATACATTCGTCGTAACTCATTAGGTTTTCATTAGAAATTTTTGTTTCTTTTTGTTTCTTTTATTTTTTTGTTATCATTTTTAAACACAAAACGCAATGGGTGGTAAGTTGTTATTGTATTTAACGGCATTTCTGAACAAAAAATATCATAATTTATTTTTTTTTTTTTCTATATGTTATTTATATGTTATTCTTTTTTAAAATACATCATCATCATTTCATTCATTATTTACGATCATTGTTGTTGTAGATTAGTATAGTAAGTAAATGAAAATTTCAAGTTCATTAATTTGTTATAAAGCTGTTGTCATAAATTATTCGAAAGACGATCGAATATTTACCGTCAAAATATTTTTTTTTTTTTTCTTTTTCTTTTAATATTAAAATATTAGGGCAAATGTGTCCATTTTGCCCACTAAAAATTAATGGGTTAAGTAAACATTCATCAAAATAAGATCTAAACTATTTCTTCTAAACCTCTCAAGATGAGCACAATCCGTTCTTTCATCGGGTGCGTGTACATAGTTTTCCTACATTTACTTACTACAACTCTTATATACAATGAGTCTCATTAAGCTTCCTATCACGTTTTTGCACCAGCGACACACGGGATCGGTCATGTTATAGTTTGCTTTGCATTAGAGCCGATGGAATAAGAAAATTGCTATTTACGGACAAGGAGGGTTTTTCAAGGCTATGGAAGGAAAATTTAAAACATAGAGCGGAACAACTTGGTGTTTTGGAAACAATTAAATTTTAACAAGATAACGACCTCAAGCGTAAGTCTCGCTTAAATCAAGAATGCCTCTTACACAACTGCTCCAAAGTGCTTCACCGTCTTCCCCAATCGCCAGGCATGAATCCCATTGAAAATATATCGGCAGAATTGGATGGCCGTATGCGAAAACACTCAGTGCCAAGACCTGAAAAATAGACTATAAGAAGAATCGAGTAAAATCCTTGTTTCGCACACTAGAAAAATTACCCGATATATATCAAAACGTTTAAATGACGTTATCAAACGTAAAGGAAAGCCCATCTAGCAAAAAAAACAAGGGTCTATAAATTTTGTGCGATCTCCTAAATAGGCTCCCCTCTTGCTACACCAATCGATTCAAGCATATCCGTCCATCTGTCCGTGTGAAGTCTGCCTCTGTATTTTTATGTACATTCTATAGATCGTCATTTGCCTCTGAAAATGAATTAGCTCAGTTTTATTTCTTTTACGGCCGCACCCACTTCTTATCAATATCTTAATCTTAGATTATAGCAAGTGAATTCGCAATAGTATAATACTAAGTAGTCAACCTTGCTCGACATGAAAATTTTAATTTAAAACAACCGCTAGTTAAACCACTGGCCAGCAAACTGGTCCATTAAATTTTTTTGCGACCGAAATTCCAACAGCCATGGGTTACATTAAAAAATGATTGTGACGTAACAACAATAAAATCAAAAACCTATAACTGGCGCCTTCTAGCACATATGCACGTACAGCTTTATGCAAAATTTTTACCCGGGTTATATATAAATTTAGTTGCGAAAACCGGCGTGAGCAAATTACAAATACACCTCTATAGCAAATTTTTACCTAAAACTTGATATGAATTTTTTCCCAAGTAACGTTAAAAAAAAAATGCTCTTGACAATTGAACGCTTTGTAAGAAACGGCTTAACTGACTCCAAACAGGACCAATCCTAACGCGACTCAAGTGTTTCTCATTAAGGCATTTAGCAATAAGTGAATAAAATGAACAAAAATATCGGATTCTTTAACGTCAGTAAGGGTAGCGACTTATGCGATGCTCAGTGCCATGGGATTTAGAGACTGCAGACTTTTTTAAACCTATAAAAACTGCATTTCCCCCGTCTTGGTCTAATGTCTATCTAGAACAGTCCCATCCTCTGTCCTCTTCAAAATATATATGAAAAGCAAACAATATTTGAAAATAATTGATTATCGTCATCTACATTTTAGATAAGACGTCTCCATAGGCTTCTCAGTTCTTTTCACGGTTTGTAGTTGTTGACTAAGAAAAACCAAAAAAAAAAAAAAAAAAAAAAAAAAAAAAAAAAAAAAAAAAAAAAACACTTCCATATGCAAAGTATGAAAATGGGTGAAAGTGTCCTCTTTTTTTTCTTTCCACAGTTACCCGTGCATATCTAATCAAAAAGAGAGAGAGAGAAAATTTGTTCCGATTGTTAAAAAATTGTTAAAAATCGAAATTTTATTCCGTTGAAAATCTAATCAATTTTCAACATTTATTTTATTTGCATAGAATTTACTTTTTATAATTTGTGATATTAAATATCTTGCGAAGATGTTCGCGCGATTGGAGTTGAAACTGCAAGATTTAGCCAAAATTGCTTTGGGTTCCCCGGAATTGACAAACGTCAATGTTGCTGTATTGCAAAGTTTGCTTGAAATTCTATTGAAAAAGTTGGACTGTCAAAATGAGAAAGTTTCACTTAGCGCCTACGAGGCCAAGTCTTTGCATAAGATATTGGAGAAATCGAAAATATCACCGTTAGCTTTTAATGATGAAAAAGTTGCGCCTATCTCGCAAAAATTAGAACGTTTAGAGAATTTGGAGGAGCGTGTAAATTCATTAGAGGTGAAATTGCAAAAGCATCTCGACGAGATAAAGGCAATGAGCAATTTAAAGGGTACACGCTTTGCATGGGAAAATTGGGATACTTATGGCTGTGAAGATTTATGTACCGTCTGCGATCCGGAGAATGAGTTGGCCTGTAAATTGATAAAGAATACCGATTTCTTAAAAAAATTGCTTAGACGAATCTCAGCGCCAATGATTGATAGAATGTTTTATTTCGAAGATAAAATCAATCAATTACACGAAGAGTTTACGAAATTTCTTAAACGGGCCGAAGAGGAATATCTAAAAATTGAATTGTTGCAGACATGCATTGAAGAAATCGAACTATTACGCACAAAAATCAATGAGAATCATACGCAATTCTTGGCTACAATGGAAGAGGTGCAAGATATGCTTGATGCTAAACTGGATAAGATACATATGCCGGCGCTTAAAAAATACATCAGGGATCGTTTCAATCGCATTGATCAAGACATTACTTATTTACAAACTAGAAAGCATTGTCCACGAGCGGCAGGCATTATCATGGAAGGTGTACGTTGCGTATCGTGTGGCGGAACTAAAGTCTGCTCGGAAGTGGGTGTCGAAACGACGGCTATGTTACCCGACGCTAGACCGAAATACGATTTACCAGCAGAATGGTTAAAGCAGTGCGGTTGCTCGAAATTCATAACCTTGGAACGTGATCGTAAAGAATACGTACCAACTGCTCCCTCAGTCAATCTTAGCGAGATGGTGAATATTAATCGACCTAAGCAAATAACTGGTAAAACTGAATGTGACGTCGGCCAGATTGAGTTTGTCGAAGGTCTCGACGGTAATTTGTATCGTAAAGGTTAAATTTCCTTTTTATAATTGTTTTTCAAAATCTTTAGAGTATTTTACCGATATCGACTGATATACATATGTTAATTAAATAAATTTTCTAAAAAAAAAAAAAAACAAAACAAAAACAAAAATCGAAAAAGCGAAAAAGCGAATCGAAATTATTTTGGGTTTTGAGAATTTCTTAACTCGTCATCATCTATCATCTATTTTCTAAAAACATAGGATATTGAAAGTACGGCGATCGTCTACGAATATATTCGTATGTACGAATGTATGTGTGCAAATATTATATAAAGGTAATTTTTCACAACCACCCACTACAATTAGCAACGAGGTACGAGATGCAGTATTTTGTGTTACTAAACTGACAACCATGACAAGTAATGCCATATGATAAATATATACAAATGTAACTGTCTGTCGGATTGTGAACGACAGAGATCGTTTTTCAAATACCATCGACATTTATTTTCGCATAATCAACTCGAAAAACATTTCACAGTCCGCACTGTTGACTGCATATAGTCCAACCAATGGCAAAGCATATACCCTCATATCTACACTACATATATATAAAGAAATGTAAATATTTCAGTCCAGTTTTCCACGTTCATATGCTTATACACGAACCTATAGGTAATTGTGCCTACATTGCTTGTCATTCAATTGTACACGTGTGTGCAAAAATGTGTTCGATTCGGTTGTATCTATGTATGCATTAAGTATAACATTTGTACGTATGTCATTTTAGTTTGATTTTTCATCGTCTCTGACAGGAATCCAATATCTGCCGGTATGCACACGTCCATATATATATATATATGTATATATATATATATATATATATATATATATGTGTATATGCAATCCATTTGTATTTGCGTGTTTGTGTGTGAGTATGTATATATATGCATATATATAACAACTCTTGGCCTTTTGTAACTGTTGCTCAGTCGTTTCTATGTAAATCATTGTGGTCTTTATCTCATTCTGTGGTTAATGGTTTCGTGTGCATTTGCGTGTGTGTGGGCCCGTTAACGATAAATCACATTACGTGACACAAATATAAAAGCGTTTTGAAATTTCATTTAAATGAACTTTTTCTTCAATCATTTCATTATCAATGTTTTACTTTTAATTAAATTGGGTTCGCAGGTTGTGATGCTGTTCGTCATTAATGTAGTGTATTGTACAGCAGCTGCGTAAATAGATAAATGGATAACGTGTCTCTAATAGCTAATCGCAACTTTCATTCCCATAGAATCATTCGTTAATAGTTAGTAGTCGGGTTAAAACAATTATCGCTACGTTTAGCGCAATTGAAGGCTTAGTTCATAAAATAGGTGAATAGTTTAACCGTGTTGCGTTTAGACAAAAAAAAACAAGAAAAAATCAATATTACAATGAAACTAAAACAAGTAAGAAAATTATATTCGATCGTGACTGCATCATTTATACCCTTCACCATTATCCTAAAAAAAAAAAAAAAAAGAAAAGGGACTAAATTTTCATGCTCTATAATATTGAGTGGGCGTGGCTGATTTTTTCTATTTTCAAAATAAAAATTTGTGTCGCATAAGCGTGTGGGCTTTGTAGACGTGTCCTTGCAAAAATTTAAATCACTTTGAAATTCTTTTGCAAATTTTCAGGCGATATGTTTACTACCCAGTTGCATAGGCAAACGGACTGATAGACAGGACATGTTGAGGTGTTTGAAACTGGCCAAGAGTTTGTATATTTTAGGGGGTTTTTGAAGCATGTTTCTATGCGTTATAAAAGTATTGAAAAGAAAATTGAAGTTTAATACACTGTTACATTGGGTAGGCATGGTCAATACTTCCCGTTTATGCATCGCCCATAGAATATGTCTTCGAATTTTTGTACCCAAATCTGCTTTAGTTTATGAGTAACGAGCAAACCGAAATGTTCTCACTTTATGTTATGCTGGGTAGATTGGGTTCTTCGACCGATTTGTCTAATTTTCAATACTAATCGGCGTTCAAGAACTTCCACTGTTTCTGCAAGTATTGAAGTGCATAGCTTCATTTTTGTCATTGGGAGAATGTTTACAGCCGACATTATGTAGATGGACAGCCATGCCGACGGACAGACATAGACAGATTTGCTTAAATCGACTTAGAATTTGATGCTTATCAAGAATATATACATATGCTCTGTGGGGTCACTGATGCTTCCGTCTGGGCATTCCAAACATGTTGATAAAATGAATATATCCCTCATCCTGCCATGATAGAAAGTTCAAAGAAATTTCTTATAAACTTTCACAGAACTTTTATAGATTTTCTTGAGTTATACGATCGTCACGTCTCCCAGTTGTAGTATATATATCGTCATACGATTTACAAGCACTTTTTACAAATCTAAAACAATGACAAGCAGGTGGACGGACATTACTATATCGTTTCAGAATTTGACGCAGATGATGAACATAAGTGTTTTACAGAGGCTCTGAAACTGGATCTTACAAACGTCATGGCACAATGAGCGGTGGCGGGTATATAAAACAAGTACATGCAAAAAAACGCATGCATTTACTCATTTCCAGATAAGAATGTAAATTGTTTTTGATTTATAAGTAGAAGTCTAAGCTCTGTAGCGTAACAACAATTATAAAATTTTTTTCTTCAAATGACGAGCTAATGTACCCCAACCATCTGGCTAAGATTTACATTGCTTATGAAAAAAGAGAAATTATTACTTAGATTGAGCTATGCCCACAATAAACTCCTTCTCTACCACTTTTTATATTTCGCCTAAGGAAGAGAAATTATTGGTTTCATTCTTTCAAGTAAATCGTGACCAAATAAGCAACTTTTCTACTCATAATTATTACCCAAGTGTGTGCTCACGCATATCATCTTTTACCTATATGAAATTTGTACATACCTTTTCGCTGATACAATGCTATATAAACTTTCCTCAAGAGAGAAACGATATCTAGTCTGCCAATGAATTTGTAAATGCCTTCGCATATCATCCTGCAAGGAAAAAACGGGACAAGTGCTTGTCTGTTCAACATATCTATTTAGTGTTCAGAATCGTTCGAAAGATGACGTAAAAAAACAGCAGGCGATCTTAGCATTAATGATGTTTCCAGTGCTTGAATAGAAATATTTATCGTAACATGTACATATATATTTATATGCTAAGACTGAGTTTTTCTTAAGAAAGTACTCTTTTCAAATCCTTTTATAACAAAAAAAAAAAAAAGAAGAAAAACCTAATTTCTAAAACATCCTCTCCCAACTCGAAATATTTGGACTCACTTAATATCGTTGGAAAAAGACAAAGGTATGCGATTTATCAAATTATAGCCTCCTTAGGATTGTGTAATTATCAGCAGAACATAGGCTCCAAAGGCAGTAGTCCTTGGTGCACGTGAACTTTTCGAGAAATAAAAATTTCAACAATTTGGAATCACTGCCTTAATGCATTTAAAAAAACTGCAAAAAAAAAACGCGGAAAAAACGGAAAAAAACCTTTAAATGGATTCTGCGGAATATTTAAGCAAGGTCGCAATATAATTTTTTATTTACGCATACAAATGCGTATTTATTAAAGTGAACCTTTTGTCTTCGTAATGCATTCAATTCTATATACTAAGGCTCACATATACGCGTTATGCATTAAATAATCAAATCCGCACACATTATAATGTTTTACATTTATTCATGTCACGTTGATAACAATCTTTTGAAATGGTAGACAGACGCACTTTGATCGCTTCAGACAAATATGTCTGGAGCAGACATGCATTTTTAGAAAAGAAGGAACAGAAACGCAAACGCAAACGCAAACAAACAAACAACAATTGAGCAGAATTGAAAACTGTTTTATGTGTATATCTAAAAACGAATTTCGTATACCCATCATCTGGGTCTTGAGGCGGTTTTTCCCTTCTACGTTCAATTCCTTACAATGGTTTTTTGATAGATAAAAAATAAAAACAAAAAAAAAACAAAAAAAAAACGGATAGACAGAGAAAACAAATCAATACTCCAGAGGGAGACATGACTAACGCAATTCAATTATAATATTTGCAGATTTGACAAAAAAAAAAAAAAAAAAACAAACATGCCCAGCGAACTTATATTTCGAATATGATGTTCTCCAAATAAACCAACAACAACAACGCAAACAATCTTCATATATATTATATTATAGTTAGTATGTGTATGCATATATATATCAATGCATTTTATGCATTTGGAAAAAAGAGTCTATTTTTACTAAGGAGAGAAGGAAAGTAACAAACTAGTAAAAAATAAGTTGAAGAAAAAGAAACTGAATCGATCGAATTTTTGGTTTTACGTTACGCCATCAACTACGTAAATAATTGTTAATGGACAAGCTCTTCTTCACAAGTGCTTGCAAACATGATGAGATGACGAAAAAACGAAAATTTTAAAAACAAAAAGAACGCAAATACGTTTGTGTGTGTAAGTGTGGCTACGCGTGTTTGCCTTTACTTGATTCATTTCATTTGATAACATGTTCGTTGATTAATTTTTTTTTTCCTTTTTTACTTTTTGTCTTCACTTTGTGCATGAAAGAAATTCAAATTCAATGATATACATATATTATCGCGCGAACGAGCGCTTAAGATCGCATCTTATTGTCAGCGCACAAAGCAATCGCACTTTGCAAGCCGTGGAAACTTTAATAATTTAGTTAAACCATCGGATGACATCGCGTAATCGCGATACATTGAAGATGTCTAAAAGGGCAAAAATGAAAACAAAAACAACAAAAATTAGTTGAATTATTTTCCTTCTTTCTTCACGTTTTATTGCAGAGCATGTTTTCTGAGTTTTGCGCAAGAACGTACACACATGTAAGAATATATATATATATATGTGTGTGTATGCCCAAATATATGTAAATAAAAAATAATCCAACTAAGAATGTTAATAATGAAATATTTGCGAACAATTCGCCCGCCTGATAAGATATATAGATGTTGAGATAAGGTACTTAGTCTTTCTCTGCAT